GTAAATATTGACCAAAACAGAAGACGTAATATGGAAATATTGTGCTAATACACATGGTTTACATGCAGTTTTGTTCACAAGCACTGTTTGTGAAGCAATCACATTTTACTTTTTTGGCCAGAAAAAATAAATTAATAAATCTAAAATTAGAAACCACTAGGAAATTATTTTTGGACACTGCAAATGTCAGCTAAACCACTAGAAGAAAGAAGTGGCTCGGTGGTGTAGTCGTTAACACATTAACCTTACATGCAAAAGATCTTCAGTTCAAGACAGAGAGCAAACAAACCCAGAGTCATGCTACTCCGAGAGCCAGTCCCAGGCTTGGATAAATGTTGTGTCAGAAAGTAGCTGGCTGTGCCAAATCATACACGCAGATTCCATCTGCTGTGGCAACCCCTAGGGAAATAAGGGAGCAACCAAAAATGGCCAAAAATCAACGCAATTTCTCATGGATGATCTAGCTCTTCTGCTGCGTGCACTATACTCTCATATAAAGTTTGAAAAAATATGAAAGAAATCAAATTAAGAGTATTGTTTGTTACTACCTTTTTGACTGCTGCATGGTTTTTTCTGTCCCTCTACCATTAAACATGTCTGTTGGTTGGTTTATATAAAATCTTTTGATATTAGATGTAATGGAGTAATTTTCATTCTGAAAATTTAACAGCACAGCTCGATTTTTATTTTTATTTATTTTTTTATTTTTTTTAATAGATGTACACATTCATAAATGCATATTTATTTATACTCTATTTTTCTTTAAGCATACAGTGAGACTGACAACTCTGATTTTGTTGTCTTTTCTTAAGGGGTTCAATTGACTGTATCCAACTCATAAATGAGGAACACATGGTAACAGGAGCAGATGATGGGTAAGAATTTGCTGCTGTTTTTATGTTGAATCAGTTTCTTTCTCTCCATTTTTATTTTATTCGGTGTGTAATGGTGTGAACTAACTCATTCATATTTCCTGACAACCTCAGCTCTGTGTGTCTTTGGAGTGTCAACAAGAAGAAACCTCTCAGCACAGTGAAACGGGCCCACGGTTGCCATGGTGATGCAGGGATTGAGCAGCCTCATTGGGTCTCTTCAGTGGCGGCACTTCAGAACTCTGATACTATTGCCTCAGGTGCCTATAGCTGTGAGAAACCTCTTCATGTGCTTTTCAGTAACACATGGGCCCGTTTTTATTCGCAGGATAATGTAAATAAAGTTTTTACGGGTGATTTGTTTGAATGCAGATGTATTCAGTGCAAGTAATAAATTCATTCCTGATGAAAAAGACATCAAAGTAATACATCAGCCTAGGTTGGTGTTTAAGTAAGCTGGCTTTATATAACAACGGATCTTCCTTGCAGGTTCCCACAACTCAGAGGTTAAAGTGTGGAAATGTGGCCAGAATTATCGTGGGCTTGAGCCTCTGTTCAGTGTACCAGTGGTAAGCAGTTAACACTTTCCTATCATTTAAAAAAATAAATAAATAAAGTTGCATAAATGTTTATTATCTTTCTCTACTTTCCTTTCCTGCCTAGTCTGGTTTCGTCAACAGTTTGAAGTTTTCAAGCTCTGGTCAGTTCTTGGTGGCAGGAGTTGGACAGGAGCACAGGTACATTTATACTCATGTTTCCATAGAAACTAAAGTTCCTGAAAACTAATGAATGTCAGCGCAAGTTCATGTTCAGTGGACAAAACATCCACTAGGTGGCAGTGTTAATCCATCTTTAACATTTTAGAATTTTTAGGTTGACTTGGCCTCATTCATATAGTTATGCAGTAACTAACTGAAGGTAACCAGGAAGTATGATGTTGGATAATGTCACACTTGTCATGTAGTATTTTTGATCAGTTTAGCTGAATGCAAGGTAAAATAAAATGTGCAAGTGGATCAGATATTTCGTCTTGATGCATGCTCAATCATCCAGGTAAGTAAATCCACAAAAGCTGACTCTGTTCATGTTGGGGAAACCTGCAGTCAGCTGAGACTGAAGGAGTCACTTGGATGAGTGACGAAACGTTTCTCCCACTGAAAATCTATGTCCAGATGAACAAAATCAACCTTTGTGGATCGGATATTTTGTTTTGGTGTGTCGATCATAGTTACAGATTTTACAGAATGACATGTAAATCTGAACTGTTTTTTTTTGTTTTTGTTTTTTTTTCTTTGATTGTAGCGACATATGAAACAAACAGTGTTAAACTTGACCACTGTGAAAATTGCTGAGGGGAACTGACAGTGATTACTGTAATTTGAAATCCAAAATGTTTTCTTGTGTATTGGAGGGTTTGAGCTGCTCTATAGTAAATCCATCCACCCACTCATGGCTGTAGCTCAGGTCATCTACTGATCAGAAGGTCAGTGGTTCGATCCCTGGATCCCCCTAGTCTTCACTCATCCGTTGCTCATCCATTGGTGTATGAATGTGTGTGAATGGCACTAAGCACTTGGACGCATAGAAGGCGGTGCTTGTGTGAATGGGGTGGATGTGACATGTTGTATAGAGTGCTTTGAGTACTCAGGGGAGAGTAGAAAAATGTAATATAAGAATCAGCCCATTTTACCATTTACCATTCTCTCCCACTTATCCATTTCAGGGTTGCGGGGGGGGGGGATTATCCCAGCTACCACAGAGCAAACTGTTCTCTACAGTACAGTTTAATTAATCCAAAACCTTGTCTGACAGATACAGGATTTTTATGACTAATACCAATATTGATTTGGATTTTTGTAAATGGTTGATATTGCAAAGTATTGACCGATTACTCGTTTGCTCTCGGGATCAGCTGTTGCTGATCAATCTGTTGCTTATAGGGAAGTTACAGATTGCCTTCATCTGCAACATCAAAATTTATGACTTATCTGAAGAGATCTTGTCTCTTCTTCACTTTGTAAATGTTTATCAGTCATTATAAATACCAAAACCTCGGGATCAGGAAATGGCCTAGCTGATATGTCAGTCAGACTAATTGTGCCTCCAAAGATGTGCAGGTTACTCATACTGTGTGCATTAATACTGCTCAATAGCAGTGTTTTTAAACTGTGTACTGATAACACGTCAGGTGGTCCCCCACCCTTTTTTTATTTCCGAAGGTGCAATATCCGTGTTTTCCAAAAAAGTTTTATTGGAGCATTGGAGAGGTGCTTTTTTTCTTTTTCTCTTCTTTTTTTTTAACCTTACCTGAATCCATCTTAGATGAGCTCGGGCTCAGAGACAGCTTCTACATTTCTCAATCACTGTTTATTCCCTCGAGGTTTTTGCTTTGCATGCTAGAGTTTTAATGAACTGACAGTTTTCAGGCGTGTGCCTGAGCCTGTGCATTGATTTCTACTTCAGAATTGTCTGTTTCCAGCACGGTGTTGCCTGAGGACCCACAGATCACAGACATTAATTACTGGTTTTCAACCTTTGCACAAAGAGATTTCTCTGGATCTCTGATTTTTAATGTACCATAGATGATGAAATTCTTTGCAGTCTTATATTGAGAGTGGGCGACCCATCCTCAATTTTTCTTCTGAAAGCCTCAAGCTCACTGTGGTGATCGTTTAATACAAAATGTTTATGACCTGTTACCAGATATCAGATTTAAACCATTTCTCCAGTGTTTTATTACTCCATCCCTCCTCCTTATTTGTTTTTTAATTAACAATCCATATGGTGTTAATCATTAATCTTCAGTGAACTGTTTGTGTTAAAATAATGATTTGTAAACAAATCTTTGTTTTGTTTACAGATTGGGACGATGGTGGAGACTAAAGGAAGCCAAGAATGGAATTTATGTTATTCCTCTTAAAAGGAAACCCTCTGATCCAGATGAAACTAAAATCGCTGAATAGAAAACTGTTAAATGCTTTTCCTTTTGTAAATTAAAGATCTAAAAATAAAATCTCAGGGGGTTTTTTTTGTTTTGTTTTTTTACTTACTGATTTTATTTTTTAAAGTATCTGTTTATACAGTTGTTGTCTGTGGATTCCTCTTGTTATTAAAAGGCAATAACAGCTTTTGGTTTAGTGAAGAAGTCAGAGCATTGTTGGTAAGGCATCCCTGCATAAAAAATAAAGTGTGAAGAGGCTGAATTGTAGGAGAGAGGAAAAAAGACTGCTGGTTCTATTTTGTGATCATAAAGTTCTGAAGTGTCGTCATGTTCTATGAAAGTTAGGCTGTAAGTGTGTCTGGCAAAGTGATGACTGCTTCTGTGTGTAGGGTATTGGAGGAGTCAGGTCAAAAGTTGTGAATCATAGATATGGTGGTAGAAGACCAGCATATGTGAATCTCATAAAAATGTAATTGAAAGTATATTGGCATCTTTTAGTAATAATTAAAAAAAAAAAATTTACAGCTTATTTCTACTTTTGCTTTACTTGACATTTACTTGGTATTTACAGGAGGGAAAGTGCACAAAATCTTTTAATTATACAAGTGATTTGTCAGACCAGCCTCAGGGACTGCAAGCTGTTGACTAGTGACATTATGTCAGTGACAGTTATTGTTATATAATAACCAAGAATTACCAAGAATTGGTATTTGCACCATCTTCAGTCATCCTGCAGGTGTCCTCTGAGACCCTGGTGGACATGTTGATGCCATTTTCATTAGGAATCGTTTTTATTACCCATCTCTTAATTTTGTATGCCATATAGGGGGGAAAAACCAGTATCATCTTCTTTCACAGTTAAACATGCAGACAATGACATTTAAATTTTTAATAAAGTCACTTCTATTTATGCTGCAGGCAGACAGTGGGTACAGTTTCACAGCTAAAACGCCAGTCCGCATAAAATGTGTAAATGTAGGATTCGTGTGAACTTTTTTTTTTCCCCCATGTAGAATTGCAGGTAGTCAACTATTAAAACGACAGCTATCCTGCACTAGTTTGTTAACTGAAAATTTACTGAAATGGCAGAAATCGGCTAATCCTGCATCCAGATCTCGATTGCGGTTCTTGTGCATAGCTCTTCTGAATTTGACAGCGAAAAACTGAATGTGGGAACCCAAACAAAGTGGAATTTGACCTTTTAATATTAAAAAAGAACATTTTATTTACATAAATTACAAGTAAGCACACACTGCTATACCAGTCTACATTAACACACGTCCTTTACGTTGTCTAGTTGCCTAGTTTTCATCACGTTCACTATAGTTAGTCACACATTTTGCTTAACAGAAGGGCTAACTTTATCTCAAAGCATTATTTTGTCAATGTCTAAACATCTGGATATATTCACAGCACTGTAAGAACACAATAAGAACAGCCTTTTGTTTTTGTATAACACTATTGCTTCACAACCACCCATTTGACAACAAGACTCTTTAGGACAAGGCACGGTGCATTTAATCACATCTATCTGTAAACCAAGGAGATCACAGCATATTAAATCTATACAAAAAAAAAGGCTTTACAGTTGATACATACTGCTCACTGTAAGAACATCGTTACGCTTTCACAGTTAGAGTTACCATTGCCACCGTCAGTCTAGTTATCTCTCTGCAACATGTTAGATGCCATGGGGGCTCTGTCATACACAGCTCTGTTGGATGGAAGGATGATTGATGACAGGATGGTTGCTTCTGCTTAGAGAGGAATGTTTTTCACAAAGAGGATGTTGTGGAGTCCACCACTTCTCGCCCGTTGCAAACTGCTGGCACATAGTTGGAGGCTGATCCTGAGGGAATAAAAGCAGTGATGTTAAAGTTTCCTGCAAACCAGAGATAAAAACTGCAAGGAGCAAGTGGTCCAAATACATTAGGCAGCCTGTCTTTAAGTACAATTTTGAGGTATCCTTTTTGTGCATGATTTTTATTGTAAAGTTTATTTGGCTGATCACGATTATACAGACTTGCACATAAAATGTTACAAAACAATACAGTTTCTGTCCGGTTGCTTCATCACTAGCTATAATTGAACAATGTGAAATACTGCAACCAGAAATCCATCACAGCTTACAGTGCTATTTTCCAGACAGTATCCTTACATTGTTGAATTCCTACTTTTAATTGTAGCAATTAAATACTTTTTATTCCTTACATCATTTTTTTTCTGACAACAGAAATCACTGTAGTCTAAGAGACGAGATAAAGCATAAAGTGTCAGAGGCCTTTTAATGCGCAGCTTTTCTTTTGGACTAAAAGCAGTGTGAGGTCTCCCAGCTATAAAAGAGTAAATGGCACGCTCACTATAGAACCATGTAAACGTCTCATATATATTTAATGTGTTTTTTTGTCTGTGAACATAGTCAGTCTATTAATTGGTTTCAGATAAGACTTTCTCTTACCCAAAATGAAAAGAAAAACATAATGGCATGGTTATTAATTGTAGAGCTATGCTGATGCAAAACTACAGAAACAAGCAGGAAAAACCTTTCAGTATTATATAGAAATTTCTTCACTCTTACCCATGTTCCACTAAATAAGAATAATATTTTTTTTTTTAAAAATGCCGTCATTTTGATCTGAGTTTCACAGTGAAACTGTCAACTGTTACCCAGTTTTATTTCTGATTTTATTGTGAAGCACTTTTGTGATTCTTACACATTTTAATTACTTACTTTTTTGTAATACTTACTTAATTTTTTAATTATGTAAGATGCCCTATCGGTATGGAAAAGGGTATCTCAGCTTAGAAAGAACACAGACAGGCATATTCTTATTTGCCTGCCAGCACCTCACAAATTTAAACACTACTGTATATTTCACTTACAGTGCTGTGAAAAAGTAATTGCTCCCTAAACCTAATAACTGGTGTTGGCACCCCTGGCAGCAAGAACAATGTGATAAAGCATTACTCTTTCACACAGGGCCAAGTTGGTTTGACTGAGCTTTTTATTTCTTGTGAAGTGTGACAAAAATATCATAAATAAATAAAATTAAAAATAAAAAGTCCAATTAAAATAATGGGCAAATCCTGAAACAACAGGTTTTTCAGCTTGCAGCCCATTTGTGCTCATCTACAAATTAAATAATCTCCAACATTAGTAAGTTTTACGTAGACTGATTGTTTAATATTGGAGAAAGCCATGTTAGCTGATAAGTTATGTTAAATCTCCTGGCTGTATATTCATATTTACCATATAAAGTGTGTATGTTAGCATGTTGAGCTAAAGACCATCTGGTAGTCCTTTGTCTTTATGTTGTGTTAATAGTTTCTTTTACAAGTAAAGAACCATATTCTGTATACTCTGTATTTGTACCTTTTGAGAAGCTGGAGCTGGGGGCAGAGGCAGACGTAGAAACTGTGGTACTGAAGCGGTTGGTTGTGACTCTTAGTGTGGCCACATTTTTCTGGGGCTGAAAAAGAATGATGTGGACCTTTGGGGCGAAGAGGCACCCGAGAACCACGGAGCCACTCAGACTGACGGAGATGCACATGGTGGTGGTCTGTACCTGGGATGAAAGAGAGCATGTGTGTAATGATGGCTACATCAGTCTGGTCTTGGATTTTTTTTTTTTATTTGGTCTTCAAAAAGACTAATGAAGTTAATTCAAAGGCCACCTGGTCCCAGTTCTTCTCTCTCACACAGCCTTTGATAAAATCACTCGTATTTTCATTTATTCCCTTTTCTGGTTATTTACAAACCTTTAATCTTAACCTTAATGTGTGGTTCCTTTCAAACATCCATTAATCAATCTTTACATTAACGTCTTTTCTAAAAGTCAATCAAAAACCAAACACAGCCCTGTAACAAATATTCACTTACACATGGATATAAGCTTTACTAATAAATAGTGATATAATAAATTAGATGTTTAACAGAAGGTTAACAACTGATAATCAACTTTTTGTTTAAGAAACAACAAGCAAAAGAAAACGTTACCTGGATGGAATCAAAATGAAAAACAGAAATCAAATTTGTCCCTTTCAGGTTTCTTATAGTTATTATTCTCACATTATGAGCCATATTTTGCATTTTAAACAGTGTGTGGTTTTCAGCTGCGTTTGTTAGCAATTCTAATTGTCCATTTGTATGCACATGAATATGAGGGCAAGAAGTCGAAAGAGAGATAAGCACAGCTGGCCGTCCTGGAAAGTCGGAGCCTTGTTAGTCATATTTCAGCTGCTAATGTGAGCTGACTGCTGGGGTCATCTTCCTGAGCTCCGTCTCTTCCCACCCCACTGGTTACCCCTGCAGTCCAGGAACTTCTATTTGCAGAACCACAGCATGAAGTGAAATCTCTCCCAAACATACTGCACAATAACAGCACTGCAGAAATATGAGAAGTCATCATGCATTTCAACTTCAAAAATAAGTAGTGAAACGCACCACCAGGACTCCTGGTAACATAACTTTGCCTTCTCTCTGCAGCTCCTAATCCTTTTCAGACATAAAGATAACTTTCTAGCAGCTATTCCCTTTAAACAGATTACACAAGTAATTAGAAACCACCAGTGTTTGCAAGAGCACAACATGAGCTGTATTTGTATGATGTATGTAATTGTTAGACATTTGCATTTAATGTTGTTTTAGCTTATTACTCTTTCTTAAATTTCCTTCCCTTTTATGAAGCACAATTTAATGTGCTTTAATTTAGCCTTTATAGGTTGTTTACTCACTGTTTTATTACCCAGTGAGTAAAGTTCATACTACAGAAACTGTACTGTAGAAAGGAGACGGAAAAAAATTAAAGGTTTTGAACATGAAAGAAAATGTGTCTACATAACAGTAAAACCTTGGGCTCATCATGATTCACTAGGCTACCCTCATTACGATATTACCGTGTTATCCAACTCTAATTTGAAATGTGGCAGCTGAACCCACAGCCATTGTTATTGTTGTCACACAGAACCAAATCATCAAGATCTCCAGTGCAGTGTGAAACCCCTCATTCCTTCAGTTAATCTCTCAGTTGCAATTTTAGTATGAAGCCTTATTTCCTACAAAATGTATCTGGTCTCTTAAGGGCCACTAAGGATCAGGAAAGTTGGCTTTTGGTTCATGGATCGAGTACCCAAAAGGCTGCTTACAACAGACATGAAAAGCCAGAGGTTTCTCATGATACAAACCTTGTGTGACCCTAGACCTCCCCCCTATCTGTTTGCACAACAAAGGCCTTGTTGCACACTTCGACCAAAATGCTGTGACAGTAGCCTTGGGACTGCCTAAGGCATCAGCACTCATAACTTACATGGTCTGTCAGTTTTATGCTTAATGTTTTGTCTTATTTATCCTATGTCACATTGCACAAATAAATAAATGCATTTATATATGCAGCTATTAATAAGACAAATATTCTCATTTATGGCTTGCTATATGGCTAAAGTCACAATGCATATTGAGCATGTTTATTCAGTGTAGTTTGAGACTAAATTTAGCCTGTAGTGCATCAAGCATAATGTTTTTTTAAAGGCTAAATGCTGCAAAAACATTATCCCCATGCGACAATTCTGTAGCAGATTTGTCAAATTTCCTATTAGGGAGGTAGTGCCTCAAAATGGGCAACAGTAGGCCGCTCAAAATGATTATTAATACAGACCATAATGTTGCTTATTGTGTTCCCTGTATGGGTTCCCACTGGGATTTAGCCTAGTTTTTTAAAAACAAAACCTATTGTAAATCTCTAGAATCCATCTCTTAGCTGAAAAAATGGGTCAAAGAGCATTTAGTAATGCCACGGTTTAATGAATCAATCTGACTGTCTTTAACTATTTCCATGGGTATATTCAGACCTGATCTGCCTCCAGTCTTTGTTGTTTTCTTGAAAGATCCTTCAACTCACATGAAAAGAAAGCTTTCATGAGTCTTGGTGAAGGTGATCAAATGGAATGTGAAAGTGACACCTTCTTCAGGGATGGTAAAAACACAGGGGACAGTCATTTATAGACTTTGTTTGCACTACTCCACATAAATTGGCTTTAGAGGTTTATAGAAATATGAATTATAAATACTCAATTTGCTATTTATCAGAAAAAAAATCCTGGATAGTTACCCTGTAGTCACTGGCTGTGACGTAGAAGATAGGCTGAAAGGCAAGCCAGATGATGCAGGTGGTGTACATGGTAAACCCAATGAACTTGGCCTCGTTGAAGTTTTCGGGACACTTTCTTGTCTTGAAAGCGTAGACGGTGCAGAGGATGATGAGAATGCAATTGTAGGTGAGAGAGATGAGCATGCTGGTGTCCCTACTGTTGCACTTGAGCGTAACAATGTTTCTCCTCTCTGGGCTCACCTCCTTTCGAACCCCTGGCACCTCCACAAGCAGCCAGATAACAGCCACTAGAAGCTGGCAGGAGATAAGAGCACCACAGATTGCTACCTGGGAGGCCGGGCTGATGAAACGTGGCCGCTGCGCTCCATCCTTTACCCCACTGAAGATGCGAGCGATGCGGTTCGTCTTGGTTAGGAGAGCTGAGTAACATACTGCGAAGGAGGTCCCCAGGCCTAGACGGCGTAGGGTGCAAACAGCTGTGGAAGGCTTGGTGATGTAGATAAAGGTCATGCTGTAGCACATCAGCACTCCCAACAACAGGATGTAGGAGAGCTCACGTCCACTTGCTTTAACCACCGGTGTTTCATTGTGCTTGAAGAATACGCCTACTACTGACAGGGTACACAGTATGCCAAGGCAAGAAATGGTAACAGGCCCAATAGCCCAGGCATCCTCCCACCGGATGTATTCTTCAGGCAGATCATAGCAGCCAGTCAAGTTAGCCAGAGGCCACTGACCGAAACTACAGTCAGCACAGGTGAACTCATCCTGCAGGTACTGGTAGGACTGACAGGGAATACAGATCCAGCAGCACACATCACCAGGCTGCATGCTCTTCACTTCATTCTTCCTGCAAGGGTCACTACATTGGGAGGTTGGTGGCACATCACCACGCCAGGGCACCATGGTGGTATTCAAGGTCAGGTTCTGGTCCCAGTAACCAACTTTCTTGTAGACGAACTTCCCCTCTTCTTTGTGGTAATGAAAGATGTTGTAGCGGCTTATGCCATCACCAACTGAATCAAAGCGCACCATGTTCTCTGTGTCTGCAGGTTTGAATGGTGCTGGTGGGAAGCATAAAATACAGCAATGAAGACTTAAAGGAAATATAAAGGATTTAAAAATTCAAAGTCAGGAATATACTACTACTACTACTACTACTACTACTACTACTACTAATAATAATAATAATAATTCTGAAGAACAGTGCTATGTTTTTGTATAATTTAAATTACTTCATAAATTATTATTTTTTTTCTGCTATTTCATGTAACAGGAAATGCAAATGCACTGCGTTATATACAGCTTTTCCTATCAACACCTCTAAGCCCTTTATACTACAAGTCACATTTTTAACATAAAACAGTTTCACGCATATGTTGTTAGAGTTCAGGAGGGCAAGGCACTTTGACAGCAAATTAGAAGATCCAAGGATCCAAACCACTGACCTTGGGATCAATGCACCTATTCAACACCTATTCAACCTCCTGAGCCACAGCTGTTCTCTGAATTTGTTCATTCATTCGTCCTTCAGTACTATTTTAGGAAAAGTATGTTCTAGATATGTTCCCTGCCCGCTGTTTCTTCAGTGCCAATTCATGGATTATTTTTTGCTAAGTGAATAATTACAAAGCCTTTCTCTGCTCAGCAGAAGTTGTTTGCTTAATCCTGTGTCATGGCTCTTTGCAACCCTTATTTCCTTTGTGTCCATGGTGAAATATATACCACTTCCAACCATTTAAAAAACATGGTAAATTCTTTTTTTTTTTTCATGTTTGTTGTTTACTTATGTTGTGCATACCTTCAAATTTGGTCTTCAAGATGAACTCCTTGTAGAACCTTTTGCCATTACCTGGTTTCATAGCATCGCAGACCTTAGATGTGTTGGAGCACACTGCTTGCCTCATGTTGTGCAGGGCATAGGCCATCGCATAGACTGCGTTCACCACAAACATGATTTTGGATTCCTGTTCGAAAGTTCCATCTCGTAAGCTGTAGTCAGCACAGCCAGGCTCCTGTAGGCTGCAGTCAAACCGGTGCTCCCAGAACTCCCTGAACCACGGGTTCCTCATATTGGTCGATGGGTTCAGTTTGGTAAAGTAGTCTTCAAACTCTCTGACAGGATAGGAGGCTAGTTCAATGGTGAAAGCTCCATCTGCTGCAGTCTCGCTGCCCCTCACCACACCCTCCTGTGCTCCCCACCCATCACTGGCCACCCAAGTGAAAGTGACATTCATTCTGGCAGCAGCCACAAGGAGCTCGCGAGCGTCCTCACTGCGCGTGAACAGGATGACAACCTTTGCGTTAGACTTTTGTTGCAAGGAGCGGATCACATTCTCATAGCCCTGGCGGTTCATGGAACGACTCACTTTGGCTGAAGTGGCAATGCAGATTTGGCGAGAGCGGGCCTCCTGCTGGAAGGCGTCAATGCCTGTTTCACCATAGTCACCCTCTGATGCTACTGTTGACACGTATGTCCAGTTAAAGTAACGCAGAATCTCAGCCATTGCTTTAGCTTGGTAGAAGTCAGGGGGCACGGTGCGGGCGAAGTAGTCATAGCGGGTTTTATCACTGAGCTTTGCACTAGTAGAGGCATAGCTGATCTGAGGGATCTGGAACAGTCGCAGGAGGTTAGCCACCTGAGGAAAGCAAAGAAATGAAAATGCTATCAAAACAGCCTCATCACATCCTCTCATATATATATATTATACATACACAGGAACTGCTGGGAAAAAAGGAAATAGGTGCAGTGATATATTGAAATATATTTAAACATAAATAAAAATACAAATAAGGGGAAAATAGTTTGTACAATTCTAAAAGCTTGAAAGTCAATATTTGGTATGAGCATCTTTATTCTTTAACACAGCCTAAGCTCTCTTAGGCAGGCTTTCTTTTCTAATCTTTGATGAGTCTACAGGTATAGTTCTTCAGGCTTCTTGGAGGACATCCAAAGCATTTCTTTGGATGTTGGCTGCCTTTTGTTTTGTTCTCTGTTGTGATGATCCCACACTGCTTCAGGAATGTTGAGGTCCAGGCTCTGGGGAGGCCAATCCACGACTGATAGTGCTGCATTCTGTGCTTAGCCAGGTATGGTTTTACTGCATTGACCCCAACCGGTCGCAGCAGACGGCTGCCCCTCCCTGAGCCTGGTTCTGCCAGAGGTTTCTTCCTGTTAAAAGGGAGTTTTTCCTTCCCACTGTCGCCAAAGTGCTTGCTCATAGGGGGTCATTTGATTGTTGGGGTTTTCTCTGTATGTATTATTCTAGGGTCTACCTTAAAATATAAAGCACGTTGAGGCGACTGTTGTTGTGATTTGGCGCTGTATAAATAAAATTGAATTTAATTGAATTCATTGGCAGAGTGTTTGGGATCATTTTCATGCTGAAAATGAAGATGCTACCACAAAGACACATTGCATGATGGATCAAAATCTGATGGTACTTTGCTGTGTTCATGTCCATCAATTTTGACAAGATCCCCAACACCACTAGCGACATTGCAGACCCTAACCATGACAGTGCCTCCACTGTATTTTGTATGTCAGACAAGCCAAGTGATTATTTGCTGGAATTTCAGAAAAAGGCTTGAACTGTACACTGATGTGCTCCCAACACTACAAAGTTGAACAAGATTTTTTAAACATACAGTCACATTTGTTTAAATTTATTAAATAAACCTATTCTTTTAATTGTACTTTTTAACCTGTCTTACATTACACGTAGATGTTTTATCAATTCTTAATTACAAAAATATGGGTTCCAAAATAATTAATAATGAAGAGTGCAAAGTGGTCATTGTTTTGCTGTAAAATGTATAATAAAGTGTAGAAATTAATTAATTTACTTATAAGTCCTGCATTAAGTATTTATTCATTTATTTATATATTTTTAAGCTATTCTACTTTTTGACTTGTATATTCTGTTTGTAGTTTAAGTGGAGCCATTAAATGCAGATCAGCCATCTGTCTGACAGTCTGATTCAGCCCAGCGGTGGAGACTGGTTGTGGAAACAGCAACAATTCAGTGTTTCTCTATCTCAGACTGCTTATTGTGTCAGAGATCCACATCACCAGCAGCCAGTGCCACAAATCGATTCAACAATAGTGCAGATAACAACAGCAACAATGGCAGACAGATATGAGTTTTATCAGTGGGATTTTTCTGTTTTCTCCACTTGAGCCATTCTGTCAAGTTATTGGGGGAAGATTTTGCTGGGACTTATGATACCCATGTAACCCAGATAATACATTAATTTCCTCCTGGAGCTGATTGCTGGTGCTGCTGAGTTCACCAGGGCTAGATGATAATCTTTGACTGACAACTCAGCGTGGCATCCTTGTTGAACACAAGCCTGCAGAAAACGACTGTGTTGTAGTCATACCATAAACTCATGGCAATTATTTTCCCACACAGTATTACAGTGCTATGGCAGCAAGGCAGTAAAAACTTGTCATTTTCCAGGAATTCCCTATGAGACACAGTGGTGATTAGTGAATACCCATGGGCTTCAATGTGACCGCCTCCTCCCTCAAGCACCACTATTTGCCTGGAGGCTTTCCAAACAATGGCATCCCCGTGTATGTAATTGGAACCTACTACACTAACTCCAAGCCCCAATTAAAGTACCATTTTGTCTCCCATGTCTCTCATTCCAGCTCACAAAAACCTAAACAGAGCTATTAGTCCTTTCTGTGATGATATAAATCATATTTATTATCCTGCATACACACCAAGTATACAGTTTTCTGCATGTAGCATGTTCCCAGATCATGTTACTCAGTAATATTTTGTTAACCTTGAGATGTAAGTTATTATTATTTGGTGCTATATATAAAAACATCCATCCATCAATCCGCTTATCCTTTTCAAGATAAGCTGTCTTATCCCAGCTGTCTTAGGGCGAGAGGCAGGGTACACCCTGGAGAGGTCGCCAGTCTGTCGCAGGGCTAACATAGACAGAGACAACCATTCGCACTCGCATTTATTCCCACATATGGGTAATTTAGTGTTTCCAATTTACCTAACCCCATTGACGGCATATCTTTGGATTGTGGGAGGAAGCCGGAGAACCCAGAGAGAACCTATGCAAACACGGGGAAAACATGCAAACTCCACACAGAAAGACCCTGGCCTGATGGTGGAATAGAACTCAGGAGCTAACCACCATTAATTTAATTTACCAGCTTTTTTTATTAGGTACGCCTCTTTGTCTGCTCAATAGTGCACCTATTAAATCAGCTAATCACATGGTAGCAATTCATTGCATTTAGGCATGTTAAAGACAACCTGCTTAAATTTAAACCAAGAGCCAGAAAAAAATCAAGTCAGAAGCACGAAGTTGAGATAAACAACATTAAAGTATGGAATCCCCATTGTGGTGATGGTATTATGGTGTGGAGGATACTTTAGCAGTAGTATTGTTGATGACCAATAACAACCACTTTATGACAACAGTGCTCCCATCTTCTGATGGCTGCTCCTAGCAGGAAAACATGCCTTCCAACAAAGTTCAAATCAAACTAGTTTCAAAAACATGGCAATGAATTCACTGTACTCACACGACCTCCACAGTCACCAGATCTCAGTCCAATAGAGCAGCTTTGGGAAATGGTGGAACTCAAGATTCACATCATGGATGTGCAGCCAACAAATCTGCAGTAACTGTGTAATGTTATCATGAAAATATGGACCAAAGTGTCTGAGTAACATTTCCAGCACCTTGGTAACTGTATGTCACAAAGAATTAAAACAGTTTTTTTGGCTAAAGGGGATTGATATGGTGCTAGCATGGTGTAACTAACAAAGTGCCTCATGATTGTATATATCAGGTCAAAACACAGACGTGAGACTACTTGGTATTGTGAATGCAATCCACAGTAGGCTGTTAAGCCTAAAAAAATCACACTAATCCCTATCTGCAAGTTGCCATCTGCTTAAACTTTTTAAGCTAAAACACCCAAAAGCTAAGAAGCAGCATAAAATACACCACAACCTCCTGAGGGGAGAAATGGAGTAAATATGATGTATTTTGGCATAGAAACTGTACCCAGTAGTATTCTTTCCAGTGATCTAGTGTGGTCTCATGCAGTTATTTACACTGAGATATGTCTATTGTTGAGACATAGGTAAGCCTGATTAAATCCACTGATTAAGGTTATGCTGCCTGGGATGTATACACCATTTATGCAAGCTAACATGTCAGCAATCACAATGAGCCAGTCAGTCACACTTGCATGATAATAAGGTAGTTTCTTCTTGCAGGGTTTTTTTAGACAGGCAGTTGGCCTTCATCAATAGATTCTTGGAGAAGCTTGACAGCGCACCTTTCAGGACGGCACTGGAGTGTGTGACAGTAACCGTCTGTTCATCCTCATGTGGTATTTCCCTCTTGTTCTCTCAGTCGGATAGAAACACCCACCGCACCGGCTCAGGGGAAGAGACACCAAAAACTCTAGACTTGTATTTTATTTTGTGATTAAGTCACATAGCTTTGGAGGACTGTACACTTTCACTGACACTCATTTATTTTATTTAGTTAAGACCTGGTTCCTTATTTTACAAACTTATAACTCAGGCTTTTAACTTCAGTCAAACTCATATTAAGTCTTCTCTATATAGAACTTTTTTTATTTTTAAGTTTGTGCATAATGAAGAAAGGTGAAATATTATCATATATGAAGCAACCATAATCAGATCTCTAGTGATGAACCAAACCAATATAGGTTGTTTGCATCAACTGCAGAAAAAAAGGGGAGGAAATGCCCAAAAGTATTTCCAAAATTACACATAGTTCTGATCATAATTAAAATTGTACATTCACAAAGCATATTTACACAGCAGTCACAACTACAACTGGGGGAGGGGTGGGTATTTTCCACCAATCATGAGCGATCTTTAAATTGAAACTCTTTTCAGATGTAGAAGTAACATGAGCTGTGCCCATTTATTTTTTGAGGACAGGTTTATTATTACATAACTGCAATATTATTTGCATAATTAGTTTACAGAGCTCATTAGAATTACAAGTTATTTTTAATATATCATAGTTATTATGGAAGTACATTAAATAGTTAAGGGTTGTTTTGGGTCTGTTGTTAAGGAGGCTCATTAGTCCAGCCAGAATCTCTATAACAGGAAAAAAACAGAGAAAACGCTCTATTACACTGCACAGGAAGTGCTTTCATGACTACCAATTTATACATAAACTAATATTTTTATTAAAAGGCTGTAGGTCTTTATATGTCAAGAGAAAGCTGTTTGGTAATCAACATTTATTTCATTGGCATGTTTATGTTGACTGATGCCATTACCTTGAATTATTATTTAAATGTTGTAAAACTTTACAACTTTCGGGTCACTGAAGGTAAAAATGATGCTTAAAATTGTTGGTTGTATTCAGTTATCATGATATATTTTGTAAGTTTTGGTAATTATATTTGGTTAATTGCAACTTGAAATGACTGAAATACATTTCGACCCTTAAATTTTGGCAAACATGGCCCAAATGGGGATATGTGCTCCTTTTTTAGATGATTATTATTATTATTAAACTTTTCGTCCAGTTTTGATTAAATTATGCTCAAATGAACTGGAACTTTATCAAGTGTGAAATGCAATTGTCAAATATTAATTCTTTT